AGACACATCTGCCAGTTATGGTCATAGCTGTAGTTAAGCTGGATTTTCAGGTTCGGTCTGCTAGAACTAATGTATTACAATTTATTACACTGGGGGGGGTAGAAAATGCTGAACTTGATCAACGTATTAGTTTATGGCTTAATCAGTATTTGGTTACAATACACATGTATGTCTTCACTTAAGTACGACAGATTGTTTCCAAATTTTAAAATCTTTTACTTGAGTATTAGATAATACCTTAAAGCAACTTGTCAAAACCTGAAACCAGAAAGATTCAGGAATAGGCTCAGAATCCTGGAACAGTATATCTTAAAATATTTCAATCCATAACAAAATTTCAAACACAGGATCTACTTGAGAAGTTGTATGCAACTTGGAACAAATTGAGTAGAACTGTATGCATTGTAACCTTACTTAGAAGAACTCTTCTCATACTTATCAAAACTGATTTCACAAATTCACTGCAAAACCTACATTAACTTTGAACTGGCAAGAGAAAAATATAGTACTAGTAGAGCAGAAATACAAGATACACATAACCCAGATTAATGCTAAACTTCAGTTAATTTTGTTTATAGTAAAAACTGTTATCCAGATCAATCTCTCCAGTCTTTCCTCATAAAAACATCATTTATGTGTTTCTTTTGCAAGCTGAGTACAAATGTAATTTTGAAATTAGTTACAGGAATGTTCCTTCATAAGTCTGTAAAGAGACTCAGATATTTATTTGCTCTACGTAAAAGACTGCCCGGGTACTACTCCTTATGTTAATATCCCCCATCGCCTTTTGCCCCCTTCAAAAGTAGCAGCAGGATACTCAATAGCAAAAAAACAAACCAAACAAAACAAAAAGAGAGAGAAGGAAGAGATAAAATGAGTGTATTTCAGACATGATGTTTGACACCAATAAGGCCAAAGTTCAGGCCGTCTGTCAAGTGAACTCCGCTACTAAAAGGTAAAATGAAACTGCAATATGACAAAAGGGAGGTCTAAAATAACTACACTCTAAAATGTGGTACAGAAATGTGGTAGCCTGAAAGAATTAATTTTGAAATAGTTTTTTTAAAACTCACTCCATTTTCAGCTCTTACATCTTTTATTACCAGTTGTGCAAACCCTATCAGGCCTCCTCAGCAAAATCCTGTTGCACTAAGCACTGTACACAGAAGAGACTCTGCCTTTAAAATCTGAAAAGTATCACATCAGCAGCAGAAAGAGCTGTAGTAATTTCTCTCTCTCATGAATGTCCTTCCTGTACTTTGTCCTACTTATAAAAGGAAAACTTAGAAAACTAGGAGCAGAACTCTCTCATACCACTCTTGCCTGATACATTTAATCAGGTAGATGAAAAAAGCAACACACACAGTCTGATACACAAGTAGCACACCTGGTGCCACTTCCCTTCCATTGCCTCTCTACTGAAGTGGGGGCGAAGACTTCTATGCATGCTTGCAGAGAAGGATTTCAGCTCAGTAGGCTAAGTGGGTTATTTTGGAACAATGCAATCTCAGCACAATTCTGGGTTCAAATATGGTAAACAAGTATGAGACAGAATAGAGAAATTCTTTACAATCCCAAATTACAGTTTGGTTAACCAAAGCACTCCCTCAGCCAGGTTATTATTGCTGTTTTCTTCCACTATCATTCTAAACGAACTATCCAAAGTCAGATGATTTTACTGATCAGCTTCAAAGCAAAGAGGGATAAGCATATGACAAACTGAAGCCATAAGGTAACAGTCATAAGAGGCTTCTGTGAGTACTACCATACCTCATCATACAGTAAGATAAAATAAATTATTATTAACATTCAACTCAAGCCCACGCTCATTGTGTATTGCACGCTAGATAAATTCTGGACCATTTTATTAAAAACAATCATCCAGAGTGTCTATTCAGCATAATTTCCTAGTCACTATAATCATTTACTTGTTTCAAGTAGAATCAGGGTCTGCATGTGCTCTGCATTCCAAGAAACCTAAGACATATGAAAGCCAACACTCTAAAAAAATCTCTTCTTCCTGGGAAAGAACTGAACCTGGCATGAGGGGAAACCTCATGAGGAACCTGGCATGAGGGGAATGGCAGCTCTCATCTTTATGCTTGTATCTGCCTCACAAGGGTGACTCAAGCTTATAAATTTAGGTGTAATAGGAAAAAAAAAAAAAAAAAAATCAGGAAAACACGAAATAATCAAGGCCATGGTTTAACAACTGGAAACTAGACTTACCAGCAACAAAACCTACTGTCACAAAGAGATGTAAAAAAATCCCAAGTGTGTTTTGATGACTAGGGTTACAAAATAAGATGTTTATCAAAAACCAAGTAGCAGGCTAACTGTAACAGCTAAAAAGAATGACAAAGATTTTGGACAAGAGCTACAAATCAGAGAATGTATTTTAAAAGTCTTCTTTTTAAATCATATAATAAAACACTTTAGGTAAAATATTCAACAGTAAATTATGTCTTGCAAACAGCACAAAATGCATATTGTGCATTTTTTTTTTAGTTAGTATGTAATCTGAATGACTCAAAGTACTTAGATTATAATTATTCTAATATTCAAAATTGGATTAACACACAAACACAGGCCAATCTGGCAAAGCACAGCTGTATGAATCACATTTCTTTACCATTGCATATGGTGTGCATTTCTTCAGCAGTGAGCAACAAGTTCCCTGAACTTTCTAACTGATAAGAAAACACTATTTTAGCATACATAAGTACTGTTATTATCAAACAGAATTTGCATTTCTGTATTTGAAAATAAATTTAACATCTAATACTAGAAGAAATCAGTCAGATCTTCCAGGGCATTCAACACTGAACAAACCATAATCCAACTCAGGTCAGCAAGGGTTATCCAAATACATCAGTGGGAGAAAAGATTAGTTCAGAGACCATACTTCTGATAATTTCGTTTCACATTCAAAAATTTAGAATGTTATTCCTTAAGATGTTGTCATCTCTGAAGGGATGAGAAATCCTAAATAAGTAGAACCACTCCTACAAATAATTTATTTGATTGACAAGGTTGCAAAAGACAATAAAAAGAGCAGATTTTATAAGATCACATTGTATACAGGAAAGAAAATATACCATGCAATGTCTGTGAGTCAAGAAGAAAAGTATGCTCAACCTAGACACTCCACAGGTGACCAGAGGTCTAGAACCACTCTCTACTAGCCTGTTTGAACTGGCAAATATTATTGAAAGTACTACAGTGGGATCATGAAAGTTGGCTCCATTACACAGTGAAGCCCCAGTGCATCAGAAGTTAGTACTGAAAGAGTACTCCAGCAGAAAGCCTTCATGTTCAGCAACATATATAGATGTTATTTTCCGTAACATTCCATTTTATATTCCCAGAAGTATTTTGATGCAAAAGTAAAAAAGGAAATGAAAGGAACAGAAGACACATATCATTGTATTAAGCTCAACAGGGAAGTCTTCCATTTGTTTTAGTTTCTTATGCTTTGCATATACACACAGAGTATTTTCTATTCCTTTCCTGTGGGCAATTTGTGCAGCACAGTCAGTAGCATTAGAAAGATCAAAAATACCAGGTTACTCTTAGTAAGATGAAATAACACTAGCAATACAGAGACAAAACCTAACTCACTTTCCCCCATTTTTCTTAAGTACAATGAAATACACACCATGCCCCAGCAGAACTGGCAGTCACTAGTTATCAGCTTTACAAACTTCTAAAGGTATTTTATGTTAGTTTACACAGTTTATTAATCTGTTTTAACAAATGGTAAGAGAGAAAATGAAAAAAAGGGGGAAAAATACAGAGATAGACAATATGAGCTTTGTATCCTCTATTGCTTCTGAATAACTACCTGTAATTGTGATGCTTGTAAGCTGAAAATTAACAAAGCCAAGAATAGAAATATGATTGAGTTTTCCTTCGAGCACTGCAACTTCTCCACTAACAGCAATGCCACAGATTCACAAAGTCAGTCAAAACAAGCTTCTAACTTTATTTTTCAACTGTTGCAGTAGGCATTTATAAAAGAACATAAGCAAATACAAGTGTTTTTCCATGCTGTGATAACTTTGAACTGCAAAGAACTTGTCCAAATTTGCCTTTTAGCATAAACTACTGAAACTTTTTCATCACCAGAATTACCTTACAGAGTTATAAGCATCTGAAAAAGAAGCTTTAAAAAAATGGAATGCAACTCAAATGTATTGCCTAGCCATACCCTTCTACATAAAATGTTTAAGATGTTGCTAGCATCCACTATCCTCATGGCTATAAATGTATCTCCAAACATACACATACATGTATATATATATATAAAAACAGGACTGAATCGTGATTTCTCCACCTGATATAGCCTTCATTAAATTTAGGAAGGACCTTCTCTGCAGTTTTTTTTAGATACTAAAGGTATTCACACAGGAATTTAATCTCTGAAATGATTCTTCATCACTTTCCCAAACTGAACACTCGAAGTTTGGGTTCTTATTACCAAACTTCTCGTCCTACACTCAGCAAGCCTGTGCTCAGTATTAATTGCTTATTCTACCGCTGTTTGCTGGAGAAAGAGACACTGAACAAACAGAACTGTCAGTAGATTGGTTATGGATCATATGTAATCTTTATCTTAATGAAATACGTTAATTCAACAGAACGAAATAACCACTGTGTTAACAAAACTGAAGTCCGTAGCTTAGTTTTTCTTTACTTGATCCTTGTGATATGTAGATGAACAATGACACAAAATGCACATGCATACCAGTCCATGAAAATAGAGAAGGACAGGAGAAAAATTATGAATATTGAGAAAGCATTCAGATACTTTAGTAACAGGGATCACGTAAATATCCCAAGAGCTGCACAGACATGTCCAAGAACTCTTAATGAAATAAAGGTTTAAGAACTAGCCCAAATTCTTACCAAGTCTCTCCCATACTTTGCTGTATGTTAAAAAAGAAAAAAAAAACAGATCATAAATAATATATTTATAAATAAAAAGAGAATATGAAGATTTTATTAAGACCTCTACTGCACACTAAGACAACGTTGGAGTATATAGAGATGGGTATAAGCTACAAGCTGGAGAAAGTTGAAATAAGAACTGCACTTGAAATAACTGAACTGACTTTCACTGTCTGGAAAGAAATAATCAATCAATTAGCAGCAATACTAAATTGGATATTATATTAATGGATACTATTGTTTTAATACTAACTATGGCAAATATATTGAATAACCAGAAAGCCTTACATAAACCCTATAAAAACATTTTCTCCATTACCTCCATCATTAAATTTATCTTTATAACCTTGAAACATCAAATTTTGATTTTTTATATGAAGCCTACCTTATGAGCTAATTAAGAAACTTGGTTTAATTTATACTATATATATTCAAGTTACACACAAAGGGGAGGGAAAAGGTAGCTTTTAATGCACTTCATTCAGAATGTTACCAGATACAATATGGGCATTACGGCTGAACATAGTTCAGCCTCTTAATTCAGTTTAAGTAATGTATTATCAAGCTGATGATTCATGTTGCCACAAGCCTGAAAGATAAATATGGCCACCCATTTACTTGAACTATGTATTTTTACAAAATTCTGATATCAGAAAAGCATCCAGTTTAGGCAGATATTTAAGGTTTTCTTCCTACAACTGTGTCCTCACAGCTACTTCCCTGCACATCAGATGAATTCCAGTAACTTCAGGAATGCTGTACGTGGCCCATTCCTGCATCCACACTGATGGTCTTCAAGGTACAGGCTTCAGCCCACAGGAACAACAAAAATAAATCAGTTCCTCACATATTTGCATTTTGCTCTGATTTAAAGCTAACAGCATTTTCAACCAGCTTGCATTAGTGTGGTAATATAGCCTACCATTACCAATGATGCTGCATGTTTGAGGCACAAAAAATGCAGTAGACAAAAAACACACTCTTCAATACAGAAGTTTAACTAACTAGCACTTTATACAATAGAATTCAAAGATTTATTATCAAATTGGAGCCCAATCCTACAAATGTTTAGCTCTCATAAAATTACTGAAACATACAAAGCTAAACTGGGTCACCTGCAGGATCAAGTTGTAGGGTGTAGGAAACTGAAGTGTTTGATTCATGTTAGTTTTAAATACACGTTTCCCCACTGGAAAATTTTACTCACATGATTTTTAAAAGTATTCTATTGATAACTTTAATCTTGAGTATGGCTTCTGTTCCGTCTGTATATGAGTTTTCAGGGGAAAAAACCACACTGAATCAATAAAAACAACTTCTCAACTTCAGATCACTGTAGTTAGTATTTTTATAAATAGTTAAAACAGCTTAGAAAAAAATAAAGATATTTTACTGGGGGGGGGAATACCTCTTCATCTGCAAATTGCTCAACGTAAGTGTTTAGAATGTCACGGTTTCCAGAAATTCACTCTACAACTACTGCTTATATTAAAAAAATAGATTATCTCAACCAAATTATGAATTTTAATGGCTACTGTGAAATCATCACAGTTGTGAATGGGCAGAACTATAATTTAAGTGCAACTGACCTAATGTTAGCAGTTAGTTTGGAAACAGGTTGTAGATCAGTCAAGTGAAGCTATGTAAAACAAACCTCAGCAAAATGCACTAGACATGCTGAAAACTTTTTTAAATTATTAACACCTACTGCTTTAAGTTCTATGGTAACATAATAAAATATCCAAACACAAATAAGGGATGCGGGAGTCAAAGCAAGATCTACATAGCATTATGCTCTTTTAAATGATTATAAGATAAATATCAAATAATCCCAAGGTCATAACAATTAAAAGCCAAACATATACATATATACAGTGCACTGTAAATTGACATGTGTTTGGGTGATCTATGACAGTCTAATACTTTTATTTAACTCTGTATTCCTCTCAAGGTAATCAGTATACTAAGTACTATCACCAGTTTTACTTAATATTATTTACACAGGCATTAGACAGAATACAGAACAGATTTTTTTCTGACAAAACACAAAAATTTCTTCAAATCCAAGTAAATATTTTAAATATTCTTAATGGAAAAACAGAATCATTTTATTAGGTAAAAAAATATATACGTACACCATGAAAAACCTTTACACATTTCAAGACAGCTTTTCTGCAGTATTTTACAATTTCAAGACTCCTATACATTTCCTGCCTTCTCAAATAAATCAGAAAAATATTTGTGACCTTATCATAAAAACACAATTCTACAAAAGGATTCAGCTCATTCCCTAATGCTGTGCTTAAAAAATAGGTATAGCGTATGTAACAGATGTAGCATATGAATAACCTCCTCACCTTAAATGGGATTACTCACAAGCTTAATGTTACATATAAATTTAAGCATTCCAGGGAGTCAAACCCTGACTCAACACTTCAGTGCTGTAAATTATAAACTAATCAAAGATACCACCTTCAGACTGTAAGGCACTGCTATCCACAGACTTCCAGATCTCACTACTGGGTTATAACAGGATTTGATATTCTACTTCAAAAAGACAGTTTCTCTGCATTCCTTCTGCCTTTTAAGTCCCCAGAATCCAACAGCCCATTTTTTAACATCAGCACAAACTACCAAACACCATTCTGGATTAGCACCCAATGTCCCTATATGACTTAGTTTTCACAAGCTCATCTTCTTGGGGCACCCATTTTTTTGTTAGGAAAGGCAGAACAAGTTACTCTTCGTATTACTCCATATGGATGACAATCCATAGGAAATAGGTGATCCTACTCAACTTCACAATAACAAACTATGAAGAGAGAACCTATTTTCTTTTAAGAAAGTTGTTACCTCTTTTGCACTGTAATGCTCCAGCCTTTACTGTTTCCCAGGATCTTAAGAGGTCAGCATGGATTTGTTACAAATTGCCTAAACAGGAGAATCTGTAACTTTCTAAATTATGTAGTTTATAAAAAATGTCAGCTTCTGTCAGAGCCTGGAAAGTTCTTTTAAAGGGGTAACTTCATTTTGTGGTCCTGGCCAAAAGAAACAGCTGTCATTTTTTCTCCACGTGGTTCATCCCTGGCACTTTATCATTCCAAAAGTCTCCTTTTTTTCCCAGCAGACAATAAAAATGTAACTTTCAATGTGCTCATTACATTCAAGGAATTTCTTCAGTTCCTACTAGTTTAATGAAACTGTGAAAACTGTTACTCTAAAGCACAGAAGATCTGTTTGCATAGCTCTCAAAGTGTAACTGCACCGGTTCTGAAGCAAAAGGAAAATGTCTATTTCTTCCATTTATATGGCCAACAATAACTTCTACATTCTGACAGAATCATGTGTATACTGGCGGGGAGGGTCGTTTCAAAATACTTTATCAGGAAGTCCACAATTAAATAAAATGCAGGCTCCCCAGATACTGATCCAAATTGATGCACAGGCTTCTTTGACTCCAAACTTCACAGCTGCTCTTTTGTTTTTTAAACACAGTTACAGTTATTTTCTCCACCAAAAACAACTCATATTTTCCAGTGTAGATGACTATAATAGATGTGAACAATAACTGAACAGAATTCTCTTGAAGGAGAGAACTAATATTTTTCTATCTGAAAAGAACTCAATAGACCAAACCACTGGGTTTGTAACAAAGTACTCATCTACTTCAGAAGAGTCAGTGCACAGGAAACAGTTCATTATCCCATTCACATTTTACTGAAAAATACTCCAGTGGAATGTATCCCATGCTCCACTTCACAACAATCTAGTAGTCTCTTAAGGACATTTCACTGAAAACAAACTGTTATCTTCTACTTTTGGACAGGGAACTCTGTAGAATTTAACAGAGGCAAGCAATTCCTTTCACATCTACTGCCCATACAGCAGTTCACATCAGGAATTGTTACATGACAATGAAGATGGATCTACAACACATGACAGAACAAGCAAGACAGCATTGTTCTCACCACCATTTAATCTGCACAAAATCCTGTATCTCCTAAAAGGAGCAGCAAGGAGCCAGAGGGGACCGTTAGGAACAGGCTGAGTATGTGAGAGCAGGGAAGGTGGGGGACTTGGCACAGGACATTCAAAAGATACACCATTTTTCTTATATAACATTGTCATGTCCATAACTGACCAAGATGAAACAAAACAAAAAAAAAAGGCAGTTCAAATTTAGTCTGAAGTGACCTAAAACACCTTTTTGCTCCTAAATGAACTCCTTCACAAGTGCAAAGAAGTAAAAACAAAGAGCATATATAATATGACACAGCAATACTAAAATGTTAAATATTCCACTACGTTAAAGGGCCAAATGCAGTTTTTATGCAGGTAAATAATTATCATCTGTGGAGGCTTGAAATACTTTAACTTCTTTATGGTTATGGAAGGCAACTGGCAGAAAAAAAAATATTTATATGTATTTATAAATAAAAATAAAGCTTTAACATTCTTCCTATCCTAATCTTCAGCTCTAACACAATGGAAAGGGGAAGGAGGAGAGTGGAACATTTCAGATAAGACTAAAAATTAACTCACACAAATTAATAGATATTCAATGATTAATGACCTAAAGTAGAATGATCGAAAGGATAGTATCATGCTAACAGTCAGGACGCATCCATAATTTTAATAAATAAAATTTCCCTGTCATTAAAATGTAGTTCTCCATCTATGGGTCAGAAGGTGGATGCTGTAACTATTTTGATTTATATATAGCTGATTAAAAATTAATTAAAAAAAAAAGAAGCTTTCAAATACTAAGTGTTTTCAATGATCTTGCCAAAGTAAAGATCAGTAGCCCAAAATCCCTGGTTCAGTCCATCCTTCTTTACCTCATCCTATCTTAAACAATATCCTGGACAGTCTTCCAGAGCCAAGTGAAAAGAGCCAATGATTACCACTATCTTTTGAAACCATGGATTTATGTCTCAGTACTCTGGGACTAGCTTTCTCCATTTCATTTTCAACTCTGACAAATGAACACAGAGAAAAATCCTTTAAGACACTTTTGCAAGATTTCATAAAGCAAAGCTCCCTTTTATGTGCAGCTGACCTCAGCAACTGGCAAATGTGCATCCTCTCCCTCCGCTCCATAAGTAACATTCACAATCATATATTTTTAAAAAATGTACAATTTAGACATGAGCCTCTACAGCCTAGCTCTCTATCTACCGCCTTAAAGGTTAGATTTCTCTTAGCTCTAGGTTGAAATACTCTTTAAAATGTTTGATAAATCAGGAGCACAAATCCACAGGGAAACAAGCTCATTACTTCCCCCCCACCCCCATCCTGACAGTGCAGTGACTTGGATACACGTGGGGGGGGGCTGTGTAGTGGCAGGTCAAACTTTTTGATGAATGTGTTGCTTTCCTACAAAATGAAGATTTGCAGTCAGACCAGTGTAGTAGGTTACCAGTCAAGATAAAGACTTCTACAGAAGGAATCCTTCTGATTATGGAAGTATCTTTAAGACTGACAAAACCCACCTGTTCAAATAACATCCAAGGTTTTATAAGTTGTAAACTACAAAATCATGTAATATCACAGCTTGGAACTGGGTTTCTAAGAATCCACTGTTAATTTACAACAACAAATAACTTATCTTTTTAACAACTTTACTTCCTATCTGCCAAAACCCTGTTATTTACAAGCGTTCCATATCTTAATTTCATCAGCAACATTATGATTTCAGCCGTCTACTGCTCTGTATTAGTGCTGCAAGATGTTAATACAAAATATTTATTTAAATAAGTATATATGAAAACAAGAAGCTTAGCTTTTTTTGATGAAGGACCTATAGAGAAATATAGGTCTCTAAAGACTTCTAAAGTAATACTAAAATGCTTTTCTTTACTCAGCAGGATTTTCTCTCCTTTCAATACAGGATATGTTCTTTATTTATCCAAGTCACCTCTGAATGTTTTACACATCAGAAGTAAAACACTAACAGTTGCATCACTAATACCTGCTCTTCTTTCCCCCATCACCCTTATATACACATTCTAAGAAACCAGCTAAAAGATGCATACAAAATGCAGATATTGCCAGATACTTTGACCGATTACTTACATCATACTTTGCAATTCAGGTGTAAAGCTTGTTGATTTCCTTCCACTGCTTGAAGAGGCAACTGTTGACATCGGGCTAGCCACAGTGCTGCTCATCTGAGTAAACAAAGAAATAACAGCACTTACAATACTTTTATTTTAAAGAGAGCACATGCATGTTTCACACTAGATATTCAAAACGGAAGAAAAGCTATTTGGGGTGGACTTGAACATAAAGGCACTGCATGCAAAAAGAACCCTGAGACATTGCAGAAACATAAGAGAGTTGATGTTTACTGTAACCGAAGTATTAGAAGCATCCACTATTTTTGCAAGAACATTTATAGGTACCCTAGGAGCACCAATGGAAAGGTGTTAAGATACAAACACTGTTATTCTGGAATACATGGTATTCCTAGGCACTGGTATCTTACTACCCAAAACATCCTCTTATATTCCTGCAGTAACCTAAGCACTAGTAAATCACATCCATCCCATCTCCACTGAGACTAAGAGAAGTAAAATAGAATCTCAGAAAAAGCCAGATAAAATCTGATGAGCACTAAGATCACAAGCTTCCTTTCTAAAACACCAGCTTTACGTACACATACTACTTAAGTCTTTAAAACAGAAATGCATTAGAAAGAGTGGGACCTGAACATCATCATAATACTTATATGACTGAAGGTATCATCTTTATACAAAATGTTTTACAGCTTTTCTATACAAATTTCTCATTAAAAAACTCCAGACCAAACCCAGGACAATTCTAGTCTTATTGTATGAGGTAATTAACACACTACATTTTCCTTTTTAACAACAGGCAAGTCAAATGCCTTTAAAAACAATTTCATTTTTAAAATAACTTAATTTACTAAAAGACTGACACACCAAAATTAATCTAATTATGGAAAACTCCATAAATATATAATGGGAATTTCATTTTTCCCTTCACATAACTTTTTAACAAAGAACTGCACACACTATGTAAGTCTCCTGATAAACAGGGTATATTGCCACTACATTTCCTCCTCTATCTAGTTTGCTGCACACTATTAACAGTTGAGTTGTACTGCTTATTTCTTTTACTATTAGTAGTAGCAGTGGTAATGACAATGAAATCCATGTTAATACAGTTTGCTTTGCTGTAAGACCTCTAAAGAGACCCTACCTTTCTCCACTTTTAAATTCTAAAGTTGAGACACTTCTTTTCTTAAAAACAAACTTAACGTACATGACCAGATTTATATTAAATGCCACTAAAAGCATTGCAATCAATCACAATTATGCTTTGGTTTAAGAAAACTTGTAATACTCTAAATACAAAGCATAAGATATTTTCAAAAAATAACAAAAGAATTAGTGCTTTGAAAGGCTAATGACATAACAGCATATGGATGAACAACAGAAATAAGACGTTTATGCATTTAGATATAAGTTTAATTTTTTTTAATGCTTTCAAGTAGATTTTCACAGACTTCTGTTCATCTTCAAGCAGATTGTAATTTAGGTCCCCATCCTACAAGCACTTATGCACATGTGTAACTTTAAACACAAGTTTATTCCCACTAAAGTCTGATTTTAATCACGAGTAGTTACACACCAGGCTTAAGTATTGGCAGGATCCTGTCATTATCAGCAGTTACCAAAGAGTCATATAATCTAAACAGTCAAATTAGTCAGTTAAAAAAGAAAAAAGGTAGAAAACATCTATTAACATGAAGGAAGGTGACAGTATTTCTAGGAAAGCTCTACAGACAGTATGGAAGGGACTGAAGAGGAAGCTGCAATGGTACCCATGTACCAGGAACAGCCCAAAGATTTGGAAATTTATATGTATTTTACTGTTCATCATTTGATTGGGACTGATCATGATTCATTTTAGTAGCTACATATTTATATCTGATACCACAGTACCAATACTCCTAAATATAAATTAATATACTGTATATTCTATATTTTACCCAGACCCTAGAAAAAGTAGTTAAGGGAACACCTCCATTAATACTTTCTAAAACAGCTGTAGAAAAAATCCTGAAACATACCAATCATATGTGCCTTAAAAACTGAATAACATAAAGACTTAAGGGGGTTTTAAGTTTAATTTTTTTTAAACTAACTACGTAATTTAAAGCATATGGCTATTTTCTTTGAACATCCATGGCAGACATTTTGTTTTATCCATGAGGTTCTATTCTGCTAATTTATGAAGTATAATCCCACAATTCCCCCAAAACATGGGACACTTCCACAGTGGCCTCCTCACAGCATAACACTTGTGATTCATGCATGTCCTATTTTGGAGTAAATACTTTTTATGGTTCCTGCCCTCCATGTGGACAAGAATAGTTTAATTAAAAAAACTTGAAGGGCTGTACATCTGTATAAGTATGAGTAGGTTTGAGAGCTGAAAGCTTATCAGCTACTGCTTCACTAAAAACTTGGTCTTCCTATTGCAACCAAATGATTTAACTTTCAAATCAAGCAGGTGTACAGCATTTTCTTGACCTAAAAAAACAGCAGCTTGTCAGGCTTTGTCAGACCCTTTACAATAATTACTTCCACAGCCCACATTTTGTTTGATGGTTTAGATAATTAACTTCTTTACACATCAAAGTCCCATCATCCGTATGTTCTATTTCCTTTCTTCCGGACATTAAAAAAAAAAAAAAAAATCATTCAAAAGCAGAAGCACTCTCAAATCAATTTTCTTCAATAAGTACAGCTAACATGGAACTGAAAAGCCTACTGTAATTTTCAATGGGTCAATATACTGTATTTGTTTCAGCTCCAAACTGAAATGCAGCTGTTTACCATATTCTACAAAATGAATTCAGATGTTTGGATTAGGTCACCGATTATTTCAACATGCCGTATTTTAATCATGAACTCTAGCAAGGAGAAGATAACTTCTGATTAACACTGTTTGGACTAGTAATTATGAGTTCCCATCCAAATAGGTCCAGCTTTTACAAATTCTTTTCCCATAAGTAAAATATTGCAATCAAATCTTTAATAAAAAAAATATACATTAAAAGCTATATATATATATAATCATAGAATGGTTTGGGTTGGAAGGGACCTTAAAGATCATCTAGTTCCAACCCCCCTGCCATGGGCAGGGACACCTTCCACTAGACCAGGTTGCTCAAAGCCCCATCCAACCTGGCCTTGGACACTGCCAGGGATGGGGCAGCCACAACTTCTCTGGGCAACCTGTTCCAGTGTCTCACCACTCTGACAATGAAGAATTTCTTCCTTACATCTAATCTAAATCTACCCCCTTTCAGATTAAAGCCATTACCCCTTGTCCTATCACTACATGCCCTTGTAAAAAGTCCCTCACCAGCTTTCTTGTAGGCCCCCTTTAGGTACTGGAGCCTTCTCTTCTCCAGGCTGAACAACCCCAACTCTCTCAGCCTATCCTCATAGGGGAGGTGCTCCAGCCCTCTGATCATCATATAAACAAATATATATATAAAAAAATATATACAGTGTAAATATGTATTATATAGAACATTATATATATTATATATAAATATAAATTACATATATTGTTCATAATATATTTAAAAGCATCTACTCAATGCCCTTTACACTAAAAGTAACCTCAATGCCTTTTACACTAAAGAGTCCCAACAGAAAATAGTACTTGTTCCATACGAATCAGCAGAACAAGAGAGTTCTCAGTTGAGGGAAACAAATTCTAAGTAATTTCTCGTCAAGTTTAGGCCCATCCTTCTCACGAGGTAAGATACCTGGGCAGACTTTTCATTTCATAGCCATCCTTCATATCCATATCCACTCTGAAATTACCAAGCAATACTAACTCACACTGATGTTTGTACAATCAACAAGCAATCTGTATAACCCATCTACTCAAGATCCAGTTGAGAGAGTATAAGAATTTAAATTCTACTGCTCCTAAAACTTGAATTTCATATACAGGCTATACATTTATCCTATAACTGTAGCGCACTAAATCTCTAAGCCATTTCATATCATTTGGGACATATATAAGCAGTCTTAAAATATGTGTACACACACAGTCACCAACTCCATCTTTTGAAATACTACTAAAATACTTTCACCAACCACCACTGACAAGATGTCACATAAGGATCTAAGAGAAAGGTGCATCCAAACAGTCACTACAGAACAGCCCTCCAATATATCTGTTCAAAAGTTGATCTAAACTCCATTAGGAAGAGCAAACACTACTATTACCTACAACTTTCACTTCACAAAAAAAACAAGCCAAAAACAACCACAACACACCAAAGTCTAAACTGGGTCAGTTTAAAACAAAAAAGGATTCTCACAGATTTTATCCAATGTCTCTGTTATAGGCTAAAGAAGTTGTGGAATTACTAAAAAAAAAGTGTCGCTGCATAAATTTTTCATTAAATAACACATCACAGTAGAACTTACTGTTATGATGACTTAATTCATCAAACATATCTCTAATGTGGTTACTGCATCAGTCCTCTTTTCCTGCCTTTCATAAATACATTTTGCATACAACCTGAAATCACGCAAAAATTTGAAGAGTGACATATTTTCATTTATATAAACCCAAACAAAACAGGAAGGAAATAAAAGCCAAGATGACTATGAATCAACACAAAATTAAAATTAATGCTTTTGTTTTCACACCCTCTACTTCAGAGTAATTAGATTAACTAGTCTGTTACCACTGAGTATTTTACTGCATGCATGACCTCACCAGCAGATAAGAGTGTAAGATAACAGTCTTCTAGGACTGGAGATGCAAGAACTTAATTAACTACAGGAAATACAGATTTTTGTTAGTGTACTTCTTAAAAAAAAAAAAAAACAAACAACTGTAAACCCTGTTGAACACATGCAAGATTGACTAAGTGTATGCTCAAAGTTATATTAAAAAAAAAGTTAAAAACCCAATAACCCATAACCAAATACTGAAGTACATACATTGTTTTGCTGATCACCCACTCTCCCAGTGGTGTGGAATAACTGAAAATTAAAACACTAAGTATTAAGTCCTTAAGCTCTCCTGAGCTGTTCAAGCAGGCTGGAACTAGAAACACTCTAAAGGGTCTCAGATCAGCACAATGCACGGATGACCAAGATTCTAC